ACCCCAGGTGTGCAGGCTAGACCTCAGGTGCACAGGCTAGATCCCAGGTGCACAGGCTAGACCCCAGGTGAGCGGGCTAGACCCTAGGTGCATGGGCTAGATCCCAGGTGCACGGGCTAGACCCCAGGTGCACGGGCTAGACCCCAGGTGCATGGGCTAGACCCCAGGTGCGCGGGCTAGAACCCAGGTGTGCAGGCTAGAACCCAGGTGCGCGGGCTAGACCCCAGGTGCATAGGCTAGACCCCAGGTGCACAGGCTGGACCCCAGGTGCGCAGGCTAGAACCCAGGTGTGCAGGCTAGACCCCAGGTGCGCGGGCTAGACCCCAGGTGCGCGGGCTGGACCCCAGGTGCACAGGCTAGACCCCAGGTGTGCAGGCTAGACCCCCGGTCCTGATGGCAACGAGGCCCAGTAGGCTGGCAGAGATACTGGTGCCCCGGGTGGGGCAGGCCTGTGTGGTCAGGCTGTGCCAAGAACAGCACAGAAAGGTCAAGGCGGTGGCCTTGGGCCCCATTCAAGTGACAGAATGAGATGCCAACATTTCTTTGTCTAGAAGCTCTGCTCCCCAACGGGTGGGGAGCTGAGGGGGCGATGCACGTGCTTTTAATGTCTTCTTTGTTTGCAGGGGACCATGTATATGCATGAGGAGTCCCTCTGAGAAGCCTGGGGACCTGCATTCTTCTCTGTGCAAATAACAGAGAACATCTATATTTTTTTTCCTAACAGCTCCCTACAGTGATGGACGACGTTGTGGTTCACTGCAAAAGTACCCCTAGTTCTCTACCCTCACGAGCAGGCGGGTTTTATTCCCCCGTACTTCTCCGTCTGGGGTCGTCTTTGGCTTCCTCTGGTCAACGGGACATGAACACAAATGACGCCTGAGCGGAGATTGAAAAAGAGCTTATGCACGGAGGGTCACCCGTCTGTTGTCTCCGGAGCTACCCGTGACAAGCCCCTAGCCAGCCAATGCCCAAGCACTACCCTGAGGACCCACAACGGTCTGCAGACACAGGAAGCAGCCCAAGACTCGGAGGGCTTGGCGCAAACTGCCGACAAACAGAATCATGGTAAATGGTGACTGTGAATTCACCAAATTTGGGGATGGTTGTTACGCAGCAAAAGCTAACTGCTAACTGATACACAATTTTTCCCACTCGATCTATGCGCCTTTCACTGGAGTAACTACCTCAGCTTCATATAGACATTTTTTTTCTCTGTTCAAGGACAGAGAATGTATTTTTTTTTCTAAAATGTACTAAGAAATCGTGAAGAAACTGAGGCTCAGAGAGGAGAAAGGGAGACTTGCCCAGATCAACGGGCCGGGAAGTGGCACAACCGAGATTCGATACCAGCCCTGGGCAAATATGGACCCTCTCCCCGTCCCACCCCCGACCCTCGAAGACCGCGACTCCCCAGGGAGGACGAGGGGTGGCCCGCGCCCTCCGCCCGCCCCAGCCCCCTGCCCACAGCGAGGCCAGTCTTACTCCCAGAACTCGATGACGGGGGACGTGTAGTTGTGGGTGCTGATGGTGACCCACAGGCTCTTGTTCTTGCGCAGCGTGTCCTCCAGACAGTGGGGCGTGTTCCAGCTGTGGTTGCAGTGGGCCCAGGGCAGGTCCTTCTGGAAGGAGTGGAACAGGTAGTAGGTGGCCCAGGCCAGGATGATGATGTAGTAGACGTTGAGGAGGGAGACGATCACGACGGATGCGTAGCCGATACCTGGGGGGCGGGGGGGCAAGGAGCGCCATGAGCATCAGCAAGGGGGCCACCAGGACCGCCCACTCCACAGGAGGGCCCCAGCATCCCCAGGACAGGGCCAGAGGGGACTCTTCAGCAGAGACCAGCATCGAAGGAAGATGGATGAATGGAGGGATGGACGGACGGATGGACGGACGGATGGACGGACGGATGGACGGACGGATGGACGGGTGGATGATTAGACAGATGGATGGATGGACGATTGGATGGATGGATGGACGGACGGATGGATGGATGGATGGACAGACAGATGGAGAGGGATGGATGGACAGACGGACGGATGGAGATGGATGGATGGACAGACGGACAGATGGATGGACAATTGGATGGAT